GCTTTTTGTCGTTGAGTAAAAAAAATCACTCTGTTCACATTTAAGATCGAGCATAGACAAGAAGTTTTAGGGTCTATTAATTAATCTAGGCACAGTAATAGTAATAATTATCCTTTACATCTAAGGCCATTTGCAATGCTGTTGTATTTTATATAGACTGTTTCAATTTGAAACTACACCAGAAACGCACCCCTCGCAATGCTGGGTAACAGTTTCGTGATTCGAGCCCTTTTTTGCATCAATTTGCAACTGCTCGACTATTATGTTTTATTTCTGAGCAGGTTTGAAACACGAATGGAACTCTGTATCAAATTTTGTTGAACTCTTGATATTTTTATGTCTTCAGGTTGATCAGGTATTATTCTATAGATCTTCAACTATCCATCAATTCAAATCACATTTGTTAGATGTTCTCTCATGATACCAGGTTGCTCAGAAATTATTCAGTAGACCAGCAGGTGATTAGAGATCCTCATGATAAACTTAATATACCTTTTCAAGACTTCAGATTGATTAGGTATCATTCTGAAAATATCCAACAGTCCAACAATCCAAATCATATCTCTCATATACGCTCTCATATGATACTAGGCAACTCCGAAATTATTCCAAATACCTTCATGTTTTTTTTTAGATTTCCATAAAGTCCTCTGGATACTTTTCCAAGACTTCATCTCCCAGATATTCTCTCATGATACTAGGTGACTCATGACCTTCAGCTGATCAGAGATCCCCAAAAATTTCTCATAATTTTTTTTTTCAAGTCTTCAGGCTGATCAAGTATTCTGAAGATCTACAACTGTTTCCCAAAATCACGTCTTTCAGATATTTACTCACGATACAAGCTAACTAAGAAGATGTTTCAAAGACAATCAGGTGATCAGCGATCTCCATAAATAATCAATAATCAAAATGATTTCCCTAAGATATTTTCTCATATGATATCAAGCGACTCAGACATTATTTCATAACCCTTCATGTCATCATCAGAGATATTTTTTACTACTACTATTTAGATACTATTTAGATACTATTCTGAAGATTCCAAAATTCAAATAATGTCTCTCAGGAAACCAGATGACTACTATTTTTTCCAAAGATCTTCAGGAGATCTTCCAAAACTTCTCTCGATATTTTTTTCAATACTTCTGGTGAATCAATTATTCTGAAGATCTTATACTGTCCAGTAATACAAATCATGTCTCTCAGATATCCCTTTATGATACCTGGTTGTTCAGAAATTATTTCAAATGCCACCAGATTTATAGCAAACTTTGCACACGCACACATATGTTAAGATCAATAAACACCTTTTAAAACTGTGCGTTGCGCTGATCGCGTTGCAGTTTCATTTATATTTCTGACAGTTTCAAATTTTAGAACTGTCGAGTAGTTTGAAACAATTTTGAAACTCAGTATTGCGAACGGCCTAACTTATAGCGAATTGGTTTATTATTCAGGTTCAATCTGGATCGGATATGCTTGTTTTCTGACAAACGTCAGTTAGATAGTTTGTTTTTAAGGTTGAGGATCGCACTGACAAAAAGTTCGGTTTCGAACTGTTCCGACCAGTTCCAACACCGATATAAAATGAATTCACTATAAGTAGCAGTATTTGGAACATCATTCCCAAATATCAGCCCTTTTGAGAGAATTCAGTCGCGTGTGAATCTTCAAAAAACTTAAAGCTCTAGATTCTCATGAATTTTCAAGCGCACACGCTCACATCACCAAAAATTAATTCCAGCTTAAAACTTATAAAACCGCTCAAACGTCTGTTGATGGTATGCTCATATATGTGAGTGCACGGATAGATTGGTGTTCACTCATTCGAGAAAAAAAGTGGCATAAGCTGCGGGCAACGTTTACTAATCATGAAAAATGAAAAATGAACATTTAGTGCCGCAGCTTGTGTCACTTTTTCTCAAGTGAGTGAACTCAAATCTATTCGTGCACTCGTCCATGTCTGTTTTGTTAGATTTCCATCGACAATGGACGAGTGCACCGATGGATTTGAGTTCACTCACTCGAGAAAAAGTGACACAAGCTGCGGGCAATGTTTACTAATGCGCATTAACATTTAGTGTTCATAATTAGTAAACATTTCCCGCAGCTTGTGTCACTTTTTCTCGAGTTCATCGGTGCAATCGTCCATAGACGAGTGTACGGATGGATATCAGTTCACTCCATCGAAAAAAAGTGACACAAGCTGCCGAAAATGTCCATGAATATTGAATAATGAACATTCAGTGTTCATGATTAGTAAACATTGTCATTTTTCAACTCAAATCAAGAAGAACATGACAGTTACGTTCATGAATGGAAAGTGTGTTTTCAAAAAATGAAAAATAAAGATTCAACGTTTATTTTTCTTTATAACTATAATAAAAAAATGCATTCTTGCTCGTGAGATTAATTACTCAAATAAGAGTATTACTCAAGTAGCAGCTTTCATCCACAACTGAAATTTTATATACCTGTTAATCATCTGATTTCATCGTACTTCACGTTTTGGCTGTATCCCATAGGAACGTATTTTTCACTTTCACGACAAATCAATTATGGACAGAAGTAAATAAATTTGGTAGTTATGATTTCATATATTGAGAATCCCGCCCAGAACATGTGAAAAATAACATAAAAATATTATTGTACCAGAAGGAATTCAAGAAAAACTGCCAGTAATCAGCCTGTTTACTGCAGTAACTATTACAAAAACAAAATGTGGGTACACCTATAAGAATAAACATTAAAAAACCTTCAAATTGACGTTCTAAGATCACGAATAGCTTATTTGGTTGTGGAGTAATCTCTTCTGAAAGTTGAAATTTTTAAAACTCTCAAAAATACAGGGTTGTAGCCCAGAAGGATCTAGGTACTTTAGAGCAAAATCAAAAAAGGCGTTTGTTCAGGATGCCAAAATAAGCGTGTTGGCCAAGTTTGGCTCAAATCGGTGACATCGACCACAGGTGGTGTACCCACTTGAGCTGGAATGACCCATATTCAAGATGATTTTCGTGGAACATCGAGGAAAATTTTACTCATTGAGATTGAAGTTTTAGAGTTTGAGATTGAAGTTTAAGAGTTTTTTTTTGCAAAGCTTCAAGTGCGCTTTAGCAAATGCGTTGATTTTGACAAATACCGTGATCTGCTCTAATTCAACGCAGCTCCTAATACCGGGTGTCACATCAAACAGTGAATATTTAGTGACGTAGGGCGTAGCAATACTCCGTCATACGGGAACCATTTTCTGTAGACGACTCAAAAGCAATGTAAACAGACAGCTTCATCTAACATTCATACATCAAATAGATGTATCACGAGTAAAATTGCGACTGATGTAAAACAAATTCTACGGGGCAGTCAAATGATCGATTTTATGGGGGTGTGCCGAAGCGAAGTGAAGCATGACGAATTAGGATTTGGATTAGGTTTATATGGCTTCTGCAAACGTTAGAGTCATCTTTACTAAGGCATTACTAGTTTGAAAACTGGCTACATACACATATAAAACAATATTATTGATAGAATAAGAACCAGGAATTTGGGGAACACATTAATTTTTAATACAGGTAGGGTTTTTTATCTAATTTCCGTCCTACTAAGCACATCCCGCACTTTACTTCTCTTTTTTGAAAGGGTTTGAACAAAACATGGAATGTTTTTTATTAAAGATAACTTCTTAATTTATTCACCTTTCCATACGTACCATTGGATTTGATAAAGAGTCCAACAATTTTGAGATATTAGTCAAAATTATTAGTCTAACACTGCTTCTTGATTCTAAATTCGTCCTACGAGTATAATTTCCGTCCTAACGCATTGAAACGCCATTAGATTTTCTTCGTCCTACGGATGATGGTAGAAAAAGTATATTCGCTAGGAGTGCTTTTTTGGTTTTGAGAACAATTAGTGTAAATATTCATACAATGCGCTATAATAAGCTTTATGTTGTGGCTTACAAACTAACGGATCTGAACAAACGTATTATTGATTTGTGCACGGTGAATTCATTGACATTATTGAAGATTTCTACTCGATATAACGGAAATGGGCGATTACGACGAAGTAGCGCTCTTCCCTATATCTCAATTTTAACGACACGACACTTTGCACTTTCATCGCCGATTTCTCGCAAATGGCAAATTAATCACACAAACCAGCAACACCATCGAGCAGAAGAAATGTTTCCCTATCTATTGGCAATGTTGAATTGTAGTCGTGTTTTAAATCGAGGTATAGTTACCTGTACCGTGGTTGGATTTTAGTGGCGCAATAGCTTCAAAAATGTATGCTCGACAATCTAGCTGGATCAACTGAACAATGATCTGGACAATCTTCAGATCATCTGGATGCATCCCGTTCGTTTTATAATTCAAGTTCCACGCCTCAACTGGGCGCAATTAAGTAATTAAATTAAGTATTATTATTGAATTTGGAACAAAAATTAGAAATCATATTTTTGCATAAAATGTTTACTATACACAATTAAATGATGGTTGAAGAACTGATTTTTACCTAAAGCGTCCTTTACCTCAGGGTAATAGGGAATGTCACGGTAGAGCCATCTTTTCCCCCAAAGAATTAAGGGAAAATGAGCATGAACATCATGTTTGGGTTTCTTATAGTAGTTTCCTTATAAACTTCAAATGGTTTGCGCAAAGTCACACTGCAAAAAATAAATTTTAATACTAAAGAGGATGCACTTCAATCATGTCGTAAATCTCATGTAATTTTTATGGTCACAAAAATAGACAAATGCAGTAAAAGCAGCGTAATGTCAGTTCATGCACTGTATTAATGATAATTTTGTCCTTTTTGACAAGTAATATTACACCATATTTTTTATACGATTGAAGTGATTTTTGATGTGATATCAAAATTAAATTTTTGCTGTGCAGGTTTCAATTGAAAGATCAACTTGAATACATTATGCAGTCTCAATTTCATATTATAGGTATTTGGTGACTACGTTTCAACTAACTAACTCATTCTTTCAGACTCTTTACAGCCTCAACACGTCCGGTGTAGCATCCAACGTGACCCAGAGTATAGTGGTGCAACCGCAGAACAATTTTTGTTTCCTGTGCCGACAGAGCTGTGGCAGCCAGGCAGAATTCGCTGTTCATATTCGAGGACATTTTGTAGATGGAAAGATTTCCGCTACCACGGTGGATTCGAATACACTAATTGCGAGACATGTAGACGTTCACAATGGCAGCGTTTGCAGTTCAAGCACCTAAATAAAGACCTGGCAGTTGGTGTTTGGTTCAGTGTCCCCTTGATTTGAAATTTCCTAACCGAATTTACATATCCATTTGTACAGTTATCGATTTTTTCTTGTTTTGTTAGAAAGTTTTTATGTTAATCTGTCGAAGAAAACAAAAAGACTCTTACATGCGTAAGCAGATGTGGTGAAAAGGATCTTCTAAAGACCGAGAGCCATTAGGATTTTTTTTTTAAGCAGAATCAAAATTAGAGAGATGAGTAAAATTATCAAGTTTCATTGAATCATATCGCTCGTTATGTATTTTTTTTTTATTATTATATATCCGATTTTCACTTCCGTCCATACCCGACCCGGTTACTCAACAAGCGGGGGTTAAAGCCGTTTGCATGAAAAATCAAAAGTAAGATATTCATTGGTAGAAGCTGCTTGAGGAACCGAACACTTTACTTGAGAAACGTCCGAATTCAACCGAGTGCATCGCGAAACTCAAATAACACCTGCTATGTTCATGCTTAGCTTTACGTTAAATGGCTTTGGCATATCGTGCAGAGATGACTGTGAATTTGATTAAGCTATTTTATCAAAACGTGAATGGATGGGAGCAAGCGTCAGTCTTATCGAATTAGTTATGCATGGTTGTCTGGAGCATGTGGTCGCGTTAAGTGCTCTGATCTGCATTTGCAAAGAAACAAGGTAATTAGCCTACGAACGGTTCGTTGCTGACGATTCGGCTAGGCTGATTCTGTTCAAGCCACACGTGGCATCATGCCGGCAGCTCAATTTTGTAATCTTGACCGCACGTGTTTCACCGATCTTTTACTTCACACTTTCTCGCAGCGCATCACCTGTAATGGTGCTCGCCTGGTTGTCTGCGCGCTGCATCTGATAGCAAATCTTAGCCCCGAGGTTTTGAACGGACCAATAGAGTAGCATACGGTGAATAGTAGCCGACGAAGCAAAATATAAGAGTAAATCTTGATTGGTTTTACTTTTATGTGTGAAAGAGGAAGCATACACCTTTTGCTGAAAAGCGAAACAACTTGTTCAAGTGATAGGAAAATATTAACTGAAAGAAATAGTGATATTTTTTTTAGCTTTATCGAGGAGAGGTCTCTAAGAGATTGAACCATCATCCATGTGAAAGGATTCACTATAGGGAGCCGATTTTTGGTGATTATTTGGAAAGCAAAATTTAAAGTGCAAGCACGCTGTTGATTTCTGGCGCAGTTATACAACCTTTCAATTGCAGAGGGTGTGGATCAAGCGGAGGTTGTACATTTACCAACAATAAATCAAACAACATCAAGAAAACAGAAGGAATGTGTTGCGTCGCCTCTTGATCGCATTTCTACTTTTCAGTTTTTCGAACAATTTTGCATTCATGGCAATTACGGTCAGTCATTAAGTAATTAGAAAAATTTAAATGTGCCATTTTTATCACGTTTATTGGAAATTTTACATGATCTGCATCCATGTGCAAACGATGAACTTCTGCCCGCAGCATCGAGTCGGTATGCCAATGGAGTGTATCGTGGGTTTTCCAAGGTGATCGAACTTTTGGCACCAGCCGAAAATGGACCAAACGCCTTATTGATGTCCGAATTGAGCGCAGCATTAGAGTTACGTATATCAGTGTTGGCCGTAGTCGTTCACATGCTTATCTTTATAGGCGTGCGCTGCAAGTGGTCCGTCTCGATTGACCATGAGAGAAAGTTTGAAGCTACATGAATGATTGCAAAATTTGGAACTTTTCAACTGCGTTTTGGTTTGTGTCAGGAATTGATACAATTTTGGTGCAAAGGGTTCTACGACATTACCCCAAGTCTATTAGCCGGAATGCCATTATCCCGAATTCGACTATCCCGTAGGACCAAATACTCCAAATACCACATTACCCCGAATTCCATTACACCGCATGGCATTACCCCAAATTTCGAATAGATATTCAAAATTTGGGGTAATGCCATTCGGTGTAATGGAATTCGGGGTAGGAAGGAAATTATTATTACTATTAATAACTTTATTAAATTGAAGAGCTTTTGATCATTTTCTGTTTGTTTTGTAACTTTCCCTTCAAAAAGTCGAAAGGAAAGAATATCGATAACATAGTTGAAGATGCTAATTTCAAATAACAGACTATAGTGGTATTTTTTATACGATAGATGGAGTAGATGAAAGCATAGAGTTGATAGTTCCGTTAGAGTACGGCAGTGTGCAATTTTATATAGATAGTAGATAGCGAGCTAGGACAACTTTTTAAGGAAGGTACAAATCGGTTTTTTCATCTCTCTTTACCAAACTCCCCCTTTGGAGAGGAATGGTGAGGGGTGTCCCCCCCGCCACCACTGGCAAAAAGAGATGAAAGCCGACCGCTCAAGTACCAACGATGTGTTTGAAACAGTTCTACCGATTTTTTATCGCACTTCAGTTGTTATTTGAAGGAAGGCATCCAGTCGTAGGTTTGGATATTGCAACTATTGTTTACCCCTACCACGATATGTGCTCCTGTCGATAACATGTTATACTAGGTGAAACAATCAAATTTAACTTAAACAAAAACAAAACATAATGTCTCTATCTTGGAGATCAGGATGGTTAATCGATAACGGTCGATAATATCAGCGTTAACGACGGAGATGATGAATTTGCATTACATACGTTATCGCATACGTTATCGATGGATATTAATTAAAAACCCTGTTGGAGCTGACAGCTTTTTTGATACATGAGCAGTTTTTTGACACATGCATGCTATTGAACAATATTACTGAAATACTTGTAAGCCATTTCTCTTTCTCTTTGAGCTCACTCCTTAATTGAAACAGATAAACGCTTTTGGACAATCTAGCTGAAACTGACCCGAAGGAAAATTATTGTGATGGCATATTTTATTCGTGATGCCAAAAACCACGAAATCATTAAAACTCGAAAAAACTGCTCAATTTTGAAAAAAGGAAAAACTCTTCAAAATATTGCAATTAAATTGCTCGTCACGCTTGAATATTTAAATTTTCAGGAGACGTATAACATTTCTTCCATCCCGGAAAAATCAAAAATCGCAGTCGGAGATCTTTAAAAAAGTTTTCCAAGTCTGAAAAAATATCTAAGTGTTAAATATCTTGAAAACATAACTGTGTAAGGAAGTTCGTCAAAACTTAATTAAAACTGGAAAAACTGAAACAAGTAAGATGTTGTATCCAAGCCACGCATCGTTTTCTGATGACAAAATTACGCATTTACGTGCACCAAACGCACGGAATTTTCAGTTTATTCAATAGATAATAAAAAAGCGAAAATTGTTTGGAGGAATTTCTAGCTAAAATTTTACAATCGCGAGATATTCGCGATCAATCATGTAAATTATAACTTTTTGTGATTTTTTCTAGTGTCCCGGAGAAAGTGTTTCTGATAAACTGACAAGGTCAGATAGATCATTGTGAGAATTTTTATGTACCACTTCAATACTGTTACGCATTTGACCACATTAGTTTTTTCCGTGATGGTTGAGTAATGCTGAGCTATTAGGGTATTCAGCACGGATGAGGCTGGCGAGCTGAATGTTGTTTCGAACGAAGGTGACGCGCTTGGCATAGATGACACACAGCGACTCACGAAAAGCTACTGAATCCGATCAGTAGCGGTGCGGCTTCTTCTTTCTTCTTCGGTGAATGGACGCTCATGTGGGCTGCAGCTCGTTGCTTGTGGGCAGCCTTTCGTTGTGTACTGGAGAACAATGTTCAACGCCACGTACCGAAAGCCCTGCTGCTGCTAATGACGACCGACCGGACACCACCACACACGGTGATTGAATAAGCACTGACCGGAGGAAATTAGATTTTGAAATCTGTGGCAGGCAATCGGTGATAATTTGTATCACGATTGCAACAGTTGGACATTTGTGTAATTTTCAATAGTGACATATTGAAAATTTGTAAAATGTTCATTTTAGCAGCATTGAAGAAAAATTTCCAATCGATTGGCTTGCTTAGAATTAAACTCCATCCGCTATTGACAGAGTTATAAGTGGTCAAAACCTGACCACTTTTTGTAACGCGATCGGTTTTGGTTTTTTGAAATTGTACCCCAATATGTTGCCGAAAGACGTAATCCTACGACAAAAAATGGGTTCGATGACCATTTGGCCTAATGATCGTTCGGCCTAATGACCATTGGACCTAATGACCCAGCATCCAAACTTAAATACTCGTAAGCCATTTATTTTTCTTTGAATTGGCTTCTTATTTAAAACATGAGCAGTTCTTTGATAGATGAAAGCCATCAGCTCATATATTGAACAATTTTTTTTTCACTCGTATTACTTATGAGTAACACAATATAAAATGTGTGTATTTTGCACTTCTTAATTTGAAATCCATCTGTTGCAGCTTCATAAATCTCGAACCTCTTATTTGTTAGCATGAACTGCAACCATTTTCATGATCACGTTCTTTCTTTTGCGTTATATTCTGGATACTTAGTTAGACATATATTTATTTTTGAAATTCAGCGAAATTGAATTCAGGAGCAAGTAACTTATTAATGCCACATTGTCGAAAAACAAAAAAGATCACATTTTCTTATTATGGTATTTATTTAATATTTTTCAAAATACTTCGATAACTGAATAATATCAAACAAAGTTTTTTACCACGAGGATACCAAAACAAGGTATTACAATATTGATATGTTATCGGTTAGTTATCGCTTCTTGCTCGGGATGTGATTGTGGGAAATGGTTCATTCGGGGTAGTAGAATTTGGGGTAGTGACATTCGGGGTAATGGAATTCGTGGTAATGTCATAGAATCGGTGTGGGAAACGGAGGATCTTTGATACATTTTTATATCAGCTAGATATCAGTGACTTTTTTGTTCCATGCTCTCAATTTCAAAAATCGATTACCACCGTTCCCCCTTCATAAAAAAAAGATAGACACACCCAACCGAAGGATGTATGATTTGCTTACAATTATTTGGGATTCATCATCACAGGCTGTTAGTAGAGATCGCATGAACGAAGGATGGGATATACCGAGCTGTGGTTTGGTAAGAAAATCGAGAAAGAAAAATGTGGAGTGAATTAGTGAGTGAAATGAATTATACTGAAAGAAAAGGGTTGCTGACTGGGACTCGAACCACGAACGTTGCGATGTTCAGAAATATGCTTTCTCCACTGCTCTCTCCATGCTGCGGAATTTGAATAGGTTAAAAGCGAATAAG